TCTCCTCGACATCGGGATGTACGAAAAACAGGTGTGTTTGGTCCATTTGAGGGCGTCCTACTCCCTTTTGTTGTTGCACGTTTAGCCAGCTCATTATCGTTCTTGCTTGAAGACGGCATAACTTCTTCTTCTTGCTTCTTGGGCATGGCTTGTTGCTCCTGCTTTTTAGGTGTTGCTTTGCCCGTGGATTTGATCTCTTTTGGGAGAGCTTCGGGCACCATGTCTTCATCCATGTAGAACTTGGCGTCTGCGAAATGTGATTCGGCTTTAGTGAATGGTTTGGTGTCGCCATAGATCACTTTCACTCATTCTCGGTAAAATTTTAAGCATTGGTGAAGGGTGGACGGTACTACTCCATTCGCATGGATCCAAGGCCTTCCTAAGAGTAAGCCGTAGGAAGTTCTTGCATCAATCACGTGGAATATCGTGCTCGACTTGAGTTCACCAATAGTCATCTCCACTCGGATCATGCCCATCGCTCTTTGTCCTCATTGGATTAGTAGACGACTTAGGGACAGTTCATCCGTCTTGATGCCGATTGTAGTCATTGTTGACTTTGGCATGATGTTTATGGCTGATCCACCATCCACAAGCATGCGGTTGACTTTGTGCCCCTTTACATACCCAGAAACGAAAAGATGATGGTTGTGAGGCTTGGATCCTAGCAGCAAGTCTTCATTGGTGAAATGGATTGCGTCCTCGATGGCACAACATGTGGCACATTCATGTGGCCGAAGCTTCAAGCCTTCGTTCTTGCTTTCTTGCACTTCGTGTTCATTGGGACTTTCCAAGACCGCTGCTAATGCTATTCGCATCTTCTTTGGTAATCGTAGCGCTTCCCCAATGCTAAAGTGTGTTGGCAGACCTTCTTCGAGCGTGAGAGTTTTTTCTCCCTCAGTGGTGATATCTTTGCCTTTTAAAGGTTCTTCCATTTCTACTTCGACCATATGGCATGCAGCAATAGTGCACTGTTGGAAGAAGTCATTCGGGAAGTACTCGTGCAAGGAGACAGGAATGCGTGGCTCTTGCTCCATAGGTTCCCCAGCATACGTTGGCTTATCGACTTTTACGTTTCTTTTAGGCTTCCTACTGTTGCGGCGACGGTGTTTTCTCACTTGTTCCACCTTTGGTCTTGTGGCTTGTGGTTTTGGTTTCCTTGTTTTTTTGTAGGTCACCAATGTCCATCCTTCATCATCATCAGTATATGTATCTTGTTCGTTTGCCCCCGACGATGGTTGTGTAGAAGGCGCCGTGTAGCTTGCATATTGATAGGAATGGTCGGGTGTCGCTTGGAGAGGCACGGGATCGAAGGATCCGAACGCCACTGTAGTAGTATGTGTTGCAGCTGTGTCTTCAAGGTCTAGCTCGATTCTCCCTTGTTGCGCTAGCTTCATAATGAGTTCTTTGAGGACGAAGCACTTGCCCACATGATGGCTTACGATACGATGGTACTTGCAGTACCTAGGATCATTCGTTCGATTCATTTCTTCAGGGCGTTTGCACTCTGGTAACTCAATTACCTTCTTTTCCAGCAAGTCATCTAGCTTTGCATCCACGTCTGAGTCAGGAAAAGGGTACGTCTTTTGCTCCAACTCTCTCAAGGTGTTTTTATACTTGTCTTGGGTGCGAGGAGGCTCACTTCTCTTTGTCTCCTTTACCTTGGTCTTGGAGGAAATCTTGATAGGCGCATATGTGGTCTTGATAGGCGCGGATGAGGTTTTGATGAGGGTAGTGTTGACAGTAAAAGTTTCCTTGGCAGGCTTTTTTCCGGTCTTGTCCACACTCGGGGCGAACACCTTATCCTTCTTGAAGTGGGTGATCGGCTCATTCTTTCCGTGATTGGCGATACTCAGCTCCATGTCGTGGGAACGAGTTGCCAGCTCCTCAAACGTTCTTGGTTTTATGCCTTGGAGAATGTAATGTAACCCCCAGTGCATGCCTTGAACACACATCTCAATGGCAGAGGTTTCAGAAAGCCGATCTTTGCAATCCAGACTTAATGAACGCCATCTATTGATGTAGTCGACGACAGGTTCCTCCTTCCACTGTTTCGTACTGGTCATCTCCAGCATGCTTACGATGCGGCGCGTGCTGTAGAAGCGGTTGAGGAACTCCCTTTCTAGCTGATCCTAACTATTGATAGACTCGGGCTCGAGGTCGGTGTACCAGTCAAAGGCGTTGCTTTTCAGCGAGCGCACAACCTGCTTGACGAGGTAGTCTCCATCTGTTCCACCATTGCTGCAGGTTTCAATGAAGTGGGCGACATGTTGCTTCGGGTTCCCCTTTCCATCGAACTGCATGAACTTTGGTGGCTGATAACCCCTCGGCATCTTCAAAGCGTCAATCTTCTTGGAGTAGGGCTTTGAGTATAGTACGGAATCATGTGAGCTTCCTTCATACTGCGCCTTGATGTTGTTGGCGATCATCTCCTGCAGCTGCTGGATAGAGAGAGATCCCATGAGCGTCGCCGCTTGGTCTAGCTTCAGCTTCTCTTCGACGTTCTCCACTGGAGGCTCCTCATCCTCGTTGTTTTCCTTCTTTACTGGATCATCCCCTTGCCTGACTTTCTCATCGGGCTTTGCATCTAGTTGGTTAAAGAGTGCTGCGATTTGCAGGTCTTTGTCCTCCACAGTCCTTGTGAGTTTTGCGATTGCTTCATTCATCTGAGCCAGCTGCTCCTCAATTGAAGTTGCTCCAGTAACCATGACTTACATAGCTATGCCGCTGCTTGAGTCGGCATCGGAAAGTAAGGATTCAGAGTACTTCCTCTGGCTTTCCTTTCTTGGCGCCCTGAGCGAGGCCAGGGTGATCACCGGTTCGAACCTCGGGTGCTCTTGTGCCTTCGGCGGAGTTGATGCAGGGGGGAAAGAGGCGGCGGAAAGAGTTTTTGCCTTGCTTCGAGTTATGATGCCTGAAGTGATGCCCCCTGTCGTGATGACGCTCTTGTTTCTTGCATCGGCAGCGAGAACAACTTGGGCCTTCTTTGACGCCATTTGTGCTTGTTGCAGATTCAAAGATAGAGATGAGAGGTAGAGACTGTCCCACTGGGCGTGCCAAATTTGTAAACACTAAAATTCCTGCGATAAACGAGACAAGAACACGTGTACAAAATAATATTTGTATTAATGATTTAGGGGTTACAATCTCTTCTACGAATTTGGCCTCTGATTCTATCTTTGAAACGTGTAGATGTAGTGTTGTTGATCCAGGGGCCGTCGAGGCTTGATCTTGGACGAACAGTTGATGGATGATGAACACCTTCTTCAAGGGCCGTCGGGGCTTGATCTTGAATGGGTGGAAGTTCTTCAAGGGGCGTTGGGGCTTGATCTTGAAGGAGGATTTCACGAAGAATGAAGAGGGCTTTCTTGATCCTTCGGGATTTGCTTGAGAGCTTCAAAGTTTCGAGGCTTCAAGGCTTTGGTGTGGTGTGAATTCTCTTCCAATTTGGGAGTAGAGAAAGTGTGTGTAAAAATCCTCCCTTGATTCTTTGATGGATGAGCCTATTTATAGGCTTTGGGAATGAATCACCACCATCCATTTGTTTTGGTGGATGTTGTAGGTGAAACTTGGTGGATGTTGTAGGTGAACTTGGGTGGATGTTGTAGGTGAACTTAGTGTATGATGGTTGTAATTTTAACACAATGGTCAACATTTATTTCACTAAAATTTCAATGTTTACAAATGTAATCTTAATGCAATGACTAACATTTATGCCACCGAAATTTCAATGTCTACAGTTGTACTCTGCATTCCAGCTTAATTATCATACTAAGGCATCCCCGTTCTGGTTCTGGGGTTCTTCGCTGCCGTTAAACCTCATCACCTCCTTCATTTTATCGCGGACATAAGGAACAGCGTCAATACACACTGTTCTTAGCGTTTGGTAGGACTTGGTCCCAATTATCACAAAATATACAGCCCAACATGCAAGAGTAAACCATCCGAAAGCTGGAACGAGGAGGAGCACAAGTAGAACCAACGCAAGAGTTCCACACAAGAGGCTGATGTTGTTCATCAATTCATATATATTTGTATTGTTGGAAGCTTGAAGAATCTCGGCAATCTCTAATGTCCCGGCGTAAGTGAGTAAATTAGCCATCAACATCACAACAGTGTTGTGGTCTGTGACAAATGGAGACGGTAAATTTCCGGTCGCATGCTTCACCTGGAGGAGGACTCCAAGGATGTTGAGGAGACGGAATATACGGTTGTGTGCTGCCAATAGAGATTTGTACCGACCACCCTCCTCGCTAGTGCTGCTGTATTATAAACAACATCAAGGATGTGAAAATTACATGGGAATAAGGGGCATTGTACTATTAACAAATAGAAAAATATTAGGCAGGCCATCTTTTTCATACCACAATACTAAATCATTTTATGTGAAGTAATTAGTAAAGTGGTCTAAAAAGATCGTCTCCCGTGCATACTCTAATGAATAACAGGAGTTCCTAATTTTCAATTTCTTCCATTGTAGTTAATGGCATGTGTCATCAACCGTTTGAATATCTGCCCACAACCCAAACTCATTTACTAGCTAATTAAGAACATGAGCTTATCCAAGACCCCGTTTCATACGCATATTGTATTTTCACTCCTTTTTATTCGTCATTTCTTTTATATATCTACATATTTCTCCTCTATTATATTGTACATAAATATTAAAACGAAATAATAATCAAACGGCCACTTTCACAAAAGCCTAACTAATCAAGCTAAAATGTCAAAACACCCACAATCCAAGATTTTAAGCTTGCATGTAATCCAATATCCTAGTGGTAGGGTATTGAGTTTCATGCGTACCGGGTTCGAAACTCCTCACGTAAATTATTGTAATAATATTGAATCCTCACTCTCTCCTAAATAATAATAAAATTTGAAAGAAAAGTGAGTTTAGGCTTATTTTACCTGAAATTTACTTGAACCAAAATTTATATGTATATATATTAGAATAAATTGTAAGCGTTGGATTCGTTGAGATTAAATTTCAACCGTTGGGTGAAAGACCTCACTCTCTCTTATCTCTCCGTCTGCACTCTCTCTCTCGTGCTCAGACCTCTCGAATCGTTTCTGCACTTTCTCCTCTCCTCCTCCGCTCTGTCAACAGACTCAACACCTCTCTAATCTCTCGAATCGTCCCTGCCTCTGCCGACAGACTCAACACGTTGGCCGTCGAGTCATCGACCATCACGCTTGTATGACTCCTCCATATTCCAGATCCAGACTTTCACGGTTTCACCTCCATCTCCCACCACGACCTCCAAATCGAAGCTTCTCTGATCTGAAGGTACCAAGATTCATGAAATTATTGTACCTTGATTTGGATTCTGAAATTGAGTATTAGGGTTTTAAACTTTCAATCTGGGGATTTAGAATTAAATTAGGATTTCTGTTTTGAAAATCCCCTAATTTCAATTACCGCTCGATTTCTTTGTATTTGGTTTCAATTTTTCTGCTTTTGAATTTTGATCGAGGCCTTTCTTCCTTATTTGTTATTAGTTAATGTTAGACTGCTATTTCTAGTTTACTAAAATTATTTTGGTAAATGGGATTTGCTTTCTTATTTGTTATTAGTTAATGTTAGATTTGCATCCCGTGTGAAGATTGCAGAAGGCCCTTTTTTGTTTGTATAAAAAGAGAGAATTGATCAGAAGGTGTGTGTTACAGAACATCTGGAAACCAAATTTATTTGATCCATAACTTGGGACCTGAAAATTGCCAAAAAAAAACGAAGCTTTACGATCAGCTTGTGACGAAATGCAGGGACGAGTAGATGCAACATTCTCCGTATGACTAGACTTTCACCCAACTGAGAGTCCGACGGCGTGCGCGGATGAAAGAGTTTCAGAGAAGAATGGATGCAAAAAAAAGTAAACAACTAAAAAGATGATAACTAATAAGCAAAAGGAAGGCCAAAGGAAGTGTACTAACCCAGCTGGGACCATAACTTCTGATGTTACTGCAAATTTGAATTTTTCTCTACTTTTGTGGCAAGGGGATTTGAGTTTTTTTTTAGTTTGTTTGTGGGGAGCGGCTCTATTTATATAGCATTCATGCACGGGGTCGGCTCTACATAGTGTCCGTGTATCCCTGAGCCGTGAGCAGATGGGACGGGGGGAAGCCTGAACCGTGGAGCGGACACTGGGGGTGGGGTGGAAGCCTGAGCCCTGGAGCAGACAGGACTGGGGGGAGAGGAGCCTTGTATGCTTAAGCCGTGAGCAGGCAAAAAGGGGGAGGAAGGGTGGGGTGGGGTTGTGTTTATATACTGTGTGAGGTTCGAGCAAGAAGAGGATAAATTTTTCGATGCGCCGGGAACTCCAACTCAAGAAGAGGGTATGAGTATGACGCACGTAGAGATGGCAGTTGGCACTAAGTAGGGCCCACTCGTTGTATTTTAATTTAGTTTACGGTCCTTGCTTGTCAATTGGTTTTTCAATATGAATCTAAATTGCGGAGATTCTAAGATTCCCACAAAGTGGATTTTTGAAGAAGATTCTCATCCTTTGTCGACATCCCTCTACTCTGGTTTAATTTTAGCAAAAATGTTATTCTTATATTATATATTTGTACCATCATTCGCATTATTTCTTTAATAAAAATAAGACTTATATGTGTTGTTCGACGTTACTTCTATTAGAAGGATAGTAAAAATAATGGTACAAATGTTTGATAACTGATAATTATAGTATTACTCCTTATTTTAGTTTACAAACAATAGCCCCTTTGGGAAAATTCCTAGCTGGTGTCCAAACTCACTTTGCAACTTTCTTTGCAGTAAATACGGACGAATGACAAATGATTAATATATTTAGAGTTCATATATTTAATGAGAAAGGTAGTTAATACTTGTACTAATAATGTGAACATAACAAATTTTCAAAACTATGAGTAGAGGACAATTCTATATGTATTGAGACGCTTTATGAAACATATACTATGGATTATGTGTATCTTAATATGACTTTATCTTAATGGCTCTAATATTATATTTAGGATGAATTGTCAATTTAGTTCTTGAATTATCATCTGAGTGAAAATTAGATTCCTAAACTTTTTTTTAAAAAAAAAAAAAACAGTTTTTGAATTATAAAAATCTACCAATTACATCCTTAATATTAGATTCGAAGCTATTATATTCAATTTTCTGTCAATTTAAGTCACGTTATTTGCATGTGATACGCATTAGAGGGTAGATTGTTAAATTTTTCATAAAGAAATTGTGTATGGAGTTAACTTTAGAGGGTAAATTAAACATTAGATTCGCAACCTATATGAAATGTTTATGGCTTATAGGCAAGAAAATGATAGTATTACTATTACACTCTAAAGTGTGTCAAGTGACATAAGTTGACGAAAAATTGATTAAAATAGCTTTAATTATAATAGTAGATATGAAATTGAAACTTTTTAATGAATTCATGGACTTACTTTACCGAAAAAAAATTTATAATTTAATTTTCATCTAGGTGATAGTTCAGAAACTAAATCAATACTTTAAAATATTCTTGTTCAACTGTGTTATAAAGTAGTCCATGCAATATGAGATCTTTGAATTTGTCAAAGGCATGAAAAAGTGCTACAACTGCACAGCACTTTCACAAGATCCTTTCATGAAAAAGAGTTACTTACGTGGTTTATTTTTTTATTTTTTGTAACTTACGTGGCTAAGGGAAACTTACGTGGTTTTTTTTGTCGACCACTTACGTGGATTTTTTTTGTCGACAACTTACGTGGATTTTTTTGTCGACAACTTACGTGGTTTATTTTAGTATATAACAAATAGACCCTTGCGGAAAGTTCCTAACTCGTTCGTCGTATGGCGAGCGTCAAACTGATGCAACGGACAACACTGCCCTTCCAGCCTTCGGCGCACGTTCCAAACAGTTACACATATTTTTAATATTTAAACTTATTTAACAGTTATAAATACAAATACACTATCATCTTGGAGTCGTGAACAAACATATTTCTAATATTTTTTTAGTCACTGTTACTCACTCACTGAGCCATAAAAGCAATTTATAGCTTGGAGAGATTTTACAATTTGACTGAAATACAGGATAGTACACTAATGTCATAATATGTCATTTGTTCAAAAAAAAAAATATATATATATATATATATACACACACATAATGTACCATCCGTGTCTTGACACCATGAAATTTTTTGCCATGGCTTGGGCTTTGCTGAATAAGATTTTGACTTTTCAATTGTTCTGCCATAAATGAACGGTGTTACCGATTTTATTGTTTATTTTTTTAGTACAATAATACATTTTACATTATGGAAATGAAGAGTTCGGTTAAGCCACATAATAGGTAACTTAATTTGGTATCGAATTCATCATCAACAAGATTTAAACTTAAAACTTCTTACTTACAAACATAGCTTCATAATCTAAGAAGTAAAAAACACCTGCCAACCCAATCCCCCGTGCCACCAAACAAACATGAAAAGGGAAGCCAAATGAAGCAAGCACTGACAAATGAATTGACAAAAGATGTTTATTTCATAAAACAAATATATTGGTATATCGTAATATGAGCTCAGTGGATGCGGACGTCCAAGATTAAAAACAAAATAAAAGCTTGATCCTATTTTGAAGGGTCGTATGACTCTTCCGGTCTCGATCATTTTGTTTTGTTTTTCTATTTTCAGTTATTTTTGTTCTTGTATAGAACTTAATCTGCAAGTTACTGGAAAACTTCTTAGAGCACAATCGGAAAAATACTATACAAAAAAAAAAAGGAAGCAATTTTTCAATTAATTCATTAAAAAATGTACAAAAACCAAATAAATGAGGCATATTTTAAAAGGTTTGAGTGCAGAGAGTGTGTACTTTGAATTGTTTGAGTAAACCGAAATTCCTTAATTGGTTACTTCTTAGTCTTTCTTTCTTGCTCCCTGCGCAAACCAAATTGGAAAAGAAAAAAAAAACAAATCTGAAATATAGAAGACTAAATTTTTTTTTACTTATGGGAATTTCCCAAATGGCATTATGTGGTGGGAGGCTTTTAAAATTGAATGTGAAAGCCTTCATCGATTTTGTTAATTTGCATCCTCAATTCAACATACTATAAGGACATTGAGCCTCAACTTCAAAAACATGAAAGTTCATCTTAAACCCCCAAAACACAGACTAATGAGTACCGATTAAATTACTTAAACAATCATTATAAACATAAAATAAGAGAAATATCAAGAAAAATTAAGTGTAACCCAATAGAATTACCGAGAAACTTTGCTGAGGATTAAGTTATTTTCCAAAGCCCAACTTTCAACCTAGCTCTTCTGTCTGCAGAAAAGAAATCCACACAAGCTGTCAATTTCAACCTTCAAAAATTTCAGCAATGATTTCGTTGAATCGGTTTTTGGATGAAGCAATATACCAAGACCTTTGAATACTTAAAATAAAAAATAAAAAAGAAGAAGCCAAAACTAAGGAAGAATAAATCATATGGAACTGTGGAAGACTACTTTCAGTTCCAAATCCCCCCTTGCGTGTGGAACGGATTCATCACGTCAAAGTAGGGTTAACTGCTCTTTGTATTTATTTATTATTATTTTTTTTTTACTTTTTAATTTGATAACTGCTCTTTTTTTTCTTTTTGACAAAATTACCCATGTTGTGTTTGTTGTGTTATTTTGGGTTAGTTTTGGATTTTTTTTGTTTTAGGGGTGTTTTTGTCCAGAAATTTTTGGTGAAACCTTGAGACACCAAAGTTGACTGCTGACTTTCTAATATTAGAGATTAAGTACAACATGAAATTAATAATAAAACTCAAATTTATCAATAAACTCATTAAACTCTATCATCGCTTTTTGTTTATCCTACCATCCCTTTTATTGTTTTCTTTGCCAGTGTTTGTCTGCACCCCCAAAACACCATTTGGCATCAATGTAACTATTTCCTACAGTGCCACCTATCACTTCATTTACAAGTAATAGGTCTTTTAGTGCAAACTTGTGGAATTGCAAGGACCTTAACACATTAACACACCATATTTTTAATCAATTTAAACCTGACATGTAGTGAGATCAGGCCCCTACTACAAATTATATTCTTCTAGCAAAAGAATGAAAAATTTACAAAAATTCTAGCTGAGAGCTTGTATACTTTCAACGTGTTACTTCTATTGATGAAATTTTATATTTTTCGAGTAAATATATGAAAACTCCATCCTTACTGTGATTAAATAATTCAAGCTTAGAGCTTATGTTTTGATAGATATGTTGAATTCCCTTTCTTTTTTGTTTATTTGCTAACATGTTTTAAGTTTAGAACTCACGGTGGAAAAATTGGTAATGTGAAAAAGAAAACTAGCTACAACAACCTTTATGTAATTCTCAAATCAAGACCAGCAAGTTTAACTACTTACAGTTGGAAAAATTGATAATTGGTTTCTTTAATTGCAGGGTCTTTTTGGTTTTCTAAATCTTAGTGTTTTCCATGTTATCAAATATCTATGCCTCGTATTTGGAAAATTCCAAGGAGAAACTTCTTACTAAAGTTCTTAGATTATAAACTTCCTTGCTTGTTGATAAATTTAAGGGGATGAATTGTTTGAATTGTTGCTTATGGACATCAGTAGAAAGAAAAAAGGCAAATGGTTGGGTTTGGTAGCAGAAAGAAAAAAAAAAAAAAAAAGTAGCCATGGAAATGCTAGTGGGAATAGGGCTGGAAAAAAAATCCCAAAAATCCCGAAATTTTCGGTATGTAATCCCGAACCATACCGATATTTTCGGTATGGGATTCGGTTTTGCATCTCAAATTTTTCGGTATTCCCATACCGAAAAAATAAATATTATATATATATTTTTTTAGTTATAAGAAAATTATTTTAACCGTTCATTGTTTTGGGTTTAATTTATGCCGTTGATATGTTTTTTAAGTCAGAATCCCATTTCACAGTTCACTTTCGTTCCATTGTTTCTATCGAACAGCCGAGACCTAATCTAATCTCGTCTGATCTCTGATCTCTCCCTCACCGGTCCGAGACCTCATCAACTCATCTCATCTTTCTCTCTCTCTGTACGCACATCACCGAGCCCTCACCACACCTGACTCTCCAGCCTTCCTCCTTCACCACACAGCCACCTCCACTCCAACCTTCCTCCTTCTTCCTCGGCCTTTCCTTCCACAACCCACGGTCCACCTCAGGCATCCTCTTCCTTCTTCTCCTTCTTCCTCCACCTCAGGTAAAAAAGTTCGTAACTTCGTGTTTCTTACTCGTAAATTTAAAGACTGTTTGGATGTATATATCATTCTGTTTGAATTAATGTTTGGGATTTAAGATTGTTTGGTTGAACTTTGAACTCGTGGGTAATCGGGATTTTGGCTGGATGAAGATCAATGATATTAGTATTGTAATAATTGGTGATTTCTTGTGAATGCGTCTCGTGAATGTGCCTTTGCTGTCTGAAATCATTAATTGTGAAGGGCATGCTAGGATTTTGTCACCTCAACATTTTTATTCTTTTGTTCTTCTCTAATAGGTCGAGGACGAGGTTGTCCACCCCGGAGGATCTAGTTTTAGATGTCGGTAGAAGTTCAAATTATTTCGGGATTCCCGATTTGTCCCGAAATCCTGAAACTATTTCGGGATTCCCAAAAATTGGGATTCCCGAAAATTTGGTTTGGGATCGGTATTGAAATTGGGATTCCCGAAAATTTCGGTTTGGGAATCGGGACAAGGGTTTCGGTATGGGATCCCATACCGAACCACCCCTAAGTGGGAAGAGGGGGGCAAGGCCGCCTTTTAAAAAAAAAATTCAATTACAGGTATTATTTTATAAAGGGAATGGGTATAAAGATAGCTTAACATTTTGAATTGGGTTTGACATAGTAGCTTAGGTAATAAATTTAAATTTAAAGAGAGATTAATTCTTTAATAAAAAACAATATGGATGAAAAAAGTAAATTAAGTGTAAAAAGAAGTGACATTGGTTCAAATAAATTTTTTTAACAAATGTAAGTACGTGGACGTGGCCCAGTTTTTCTTAGGAACCCCGTCTCGAGTTGGCCTCTGGGACCTTAACACGTATCATCGACTTTATTCTTTCTTTAATTAATATTTTTGCAATATTAATATTTTGTTGGTATTAAATTTCAGGTAATGCTAAGGAAATAAAATTTTGCATACTAAATTTGCAAACCAAGTAGGTGATTAGATTATTGATTAAGTATCGATTAATGTGTTTTTTTCTCTTATTGATGACATGTCATTTGGTTTGCAAATTTAGTTTAAGAATTTGGTTTTCCTAATTTTATCCTAAATCTCATGTCAAGAACTCGAAAAAAGATCATGTATGTTGAGTGCCTGCACTTCATATTAATTTTATAATAAAACTTTGACATGCTACGTAGAATAAAATTTTAAATTAAATTACAAACTAAATAATGTGTCACATATATGAATTAATCAATACTTAAGTAATAATCCAATCATCAACAACCACATAATTTAGTTTATAAATTTAATCTTCCTATCATTACCCTTTTCGTAAAATTATTATCAACCTAAACAACAAAATAAGTTTTAAAAGTTTAAACTCTTCAAATCCCATTATCCCGTCTCTTTCAACGCTATCTTCTCCTTGCCTATACAACAAAGTCAGCAGATAAATACTCATTTGGACAAATTTCACAAATTTTTACTTTTCACACAACTCTCTTAGAGTAAATATGTGTGGATAGAACTATCCACACACCTATTTTAACAAAGATGTGTGAGAGAAAAAAAAGGGACGTAAGAATAGCACTTTCAATTTTACTTTCGGAATAGCACTTTCCATTTTACTTTCGGATTTCTATGTGGAATTTGCCAACGAATTAGGTGATGTCCAAACTCTAACCGTGCAACTTTTCTTAGAGTAAACATGGATGAATGATTGAGAAAGGAAATTGAAAAGAATAAAAAGTTGCGCAAAGTATCATCGACAGGTTAACAAGGTTGTGTACCGTTATTCGTATGCTTTATGATCTGTTTGTGACGAAATGCACAGAAGAATGGATGCAAAAATCAACCTCAGGTATTGAAAATATCACAACTCCTCTATAAAACTTGAGCAGTTTATATTACGATTCTTCAGTTTAACAAATTCTTCTGTCAACTTGTTCTGATTAATCATACAAGTTCACTCAGAAAGTCAGAATACACGAAACTGAATCACAGATAACTCAGATTCGGCATAACCTATAAAATTACAACTCCACTGCTTAGAAAACCCGAGGACAAATCCATGCATGCCAGCTCTAATCCAATGCACTTCTATATCTCTATGGAAATTACTGCTTTCCATACTTAATTTTGAGAAATAGGACAACTGTCAATCGGATATCTTTTGCGTTGTGGACGCCTTGTCCTCTTACCCCAACAGGTTTGATTTCTCTCCTCAGGTCCCTGCAGCTCCTTGTTAGAAAGTCAATGTAACTAGATAGGAATGTTTTATTTAATTGATTTGTAATTGATACTTTCTGTTATCATATTCCTAGTTTCTAGGTCTTCTTGTTGTACAAGGAAAGGTATTGTATATATTGAGCATTCTATCAATGAAAGGAATGATTCTGGCTAAATACAATTTTCACATGGTATACAGAGCAGGTTCCAAACCCTAGCTCTTTTCTCCGCCGAAACCACCAGAACCTTTTTTTTATTCGTTGTCCTCCTTCTCCATGGCTGACAGCGACAACACCATTATCAAGAAGGGCGACGGCGAGAGTTTTGCCGACCCTTATTTTCTTCATCCTTCAGATCATCCTGGTTTGATTTTAGTCTCCAAAAAATTGACTGGGGACAACTACAACACTTGGTGCCGAGCTATGGAGATTTCTTTAGGTGCCAAGAACAAAATTGGTTTTATTAACGACAAGGTGAACATGCCATCTGAAACAAAGCAACCCGATGCTTACGCCGCATGGCAGAGGTGCAATAATGCATGGATCATCAATTCCATTGAATCTGATATTTCAAATTCAATTCTTTACTTGAAGACAGCCTATGAAGTTTGGGAAGATCTTCGGGAAAGATTTTCTCAAAGCAATGCTCCACGAATTTTTCAGCTTCAAAGAGAGATTGCCTCTCTCACCCAAGGCCAACAATCTGTGGCTGTTTATTACACAAAATTGAAGGGTCTTTGGGATGAGTTAGCATCCTATAGTTCTTCAACAATCTTCACTTGTGGCGCACAACATGAAACCAATAGACTTATGCAGTTCCTCATGGGATTGAATGAGTCTTACAGTGCTATTCGTGGACAAATCCTATTGATGAATCCACTTCCTTCCTACCGACAAACGTATTCCTCGATCATCCAAGAAGAAAAACAACGGGAGTTAGGCACTGGATCCCGCAGTCTAACTGAACCAGCAGCCATGGCGGTTCGCCATCAGCAGCAATCTTCCAAGAAGCAGCACCAACAGTCGCAGACCAGCAGCAACAGTCGACCTCCTCTTCACTGCTCTTACTGCGACGCTAAGTATCATACCGTTGAGACTTGTTGGCAGAAGAATGGTTATCCACCGGATCATCCCTGTCACAATCCCAACATGACACGCAACTCCAAACAAAATGGTGGTGGCAGCGGCTTCTCTCGTGGAAGTTCTTCTGCTCATCACGTTGCTTCTACTCCCACCATCAAGGCTCTTCAAACTGTTGTGCCCAACCTGTCCGAGAAACAATAAGCAGACATCTTTTCTGCCTTGACTTCCAAGAATGACAAATCACAAGCTGCGAATGAAGCACCACAAGCCCATGCCGCTCTCACTTCTCCACCACCCTCAGGTTTGTCTCCGCTTGTTCCCGGTCGATGGATCATCGACAGCGGAGCAACGGATCACATCACTTGCTCGTCTAGTTTATTGACAAATTCCATTAACAATACCTCTTTGCCGCTTGTCTCACTGCCTAGCGGAGAGAAGGCTTCTATTACTTCGATTGGCAATATTCAATTAAGTGATTTACTACAATTGAAAGATGTTCTATGCGTGCCTTCTTTCCAAGTTGATTTATTATCTGTTTGAAAAATTACAGATGGGTTACATTGTTCAGTGACTTTTTTTCCCTCTTGGTGCATTTTACAGGACCTGATTTCGAAGGTGACGATTAGTGTTGGTAAGCGACGGGGCAATCTCTATTACCTTGTGGCGTTGGCTTCTACTTCTTCTCTGCAAAACCGACCCTCCTGTCACCTCATTACTGTTTCTGTTGACCTTTGGCACCGCCGTCTGGGGCATCCTTCTCTTGGGCGTCTACAATATTTAGCAAATCAAACCTTAAATTTCCCTTTTGATTCAAGTCATCGTTGTCATGTTTGTCCGTTGGCGAAACAAACTCGCCAACCTTTTAGTCGTAGCTCCATTTCAACTTCTAGTTTTTTTGAACTTTTGCATTGTGACATTTGGGGTCTTCATAAGACTGCCTCCCTTACTGGTGCTCATTATTTCTTAACTATCGTTGATGATTTTTCTCGTTTCACCTGGGTTTTTTTAATGCGACACAAACATGAAACACAACCTACCCTCAAAACCTTTTTTGCTTATATTGAAACTCAATTTCACACCAAAATCAAACAAATTAGAGTCAATAATGGGGGTGAATTTTATTCCATGCGGGATTTCTTCTCTGACAATGGGATCATTTATCAACACTCTTGTGTTTACACACCACAACAAAATGGTGTTGTAGAACGCAAGCATCGCCACATCCTAGAAACTGCTCGAGCTTTGCGTTTTCAGTCTCATTTACCAGTTAAGTTTTGGGGGGAGTGTATTCTCACCGCCACTTATCTCATAAACCGTCTCCCTACACCATTACTTTCCAGAAAATCACCATTTGAGATACTATACAACAAACCACCTTCTTATTCCCATATGCGTGTTTTCGGTTGTCTTGCCTACGCCACGTCTGTCCATCATTCCTCCAAGTTCTCTCCGAGGGCTCATCGATGTGTTTTTCTTGGTTATCCCCCAGGTCAAAAGGCTTATAAGCTTTATGATCTTGAGACACATAAAATTTTCACCAATCGGGATGTTATTTTTCTTGAAGACACATTTCCTTTTGATCCATCCACCACCACTGCACCCTCCCCTCCCTTATCCGATTTACCTCATTCCACACCTTTACCCATCCCACTTGATCCCATCACCCTTGACCATTCCACCACTACTCCACTAGATATTGTCCCCCACACTTCCACACCGCTTGACCCACCGCTTGACCCATCCCCACCGCCCGACTCATCCTCACATCCTCCCACCTTTCACCCCCTCACGGACCCCCCACGGACCCCACCCCTGACCTTCCTCTTTCTACTCAACCCACCCGTTTTTCCACACGCCACAAGGAGCCCAATGTTCGTCTCCGTGACTACGTTTACTCGCAGGTGATGCTGCCCCCACTCCAATCTTCGTCGCCTTCGTCATCCGGTTCCACCAAAGGTACTCGTTATCCCATTTGTAATTCTATTTCCTATCACAGATATTCACCATTGCATCTTTCTTCTGTTGCTCACATTAGTCGAAGTGTAGAACCTTCTTCTTTTGCAGAGGCTCTTCAAGACTCTCTTTGGCGCGCAACTATGGATTCAGAACTTGAGGCACTTTCTTCCAACAATACATGGACTCTTACTCCACTTCCTCCCGGCAAGCGTCCCATTGATTGTCGGTGGGTCTACAAAATCAAGCATAATGCTGATGGTTCTATCGAGCGTTACAAAGCTCGTTTAGTGGCCAAAGGATTCACTCAAGCCGAGGGGATTGATTATCATGACACTTTCTCTCCCACCGCCAAAATGATCACAGTTCGCTGTCTACTTGCTTTTGCCGCTGGCCAAGGGTGGTCTCTTCAACAATTTGATGTTCATAATGCCTTTCTTCATGGCGACCTTCAGGAAGAAATTTACATGTCCCCTCCTCCTGGTCTTCGGCGTCAGGGGGAGAACCTTGTATGCCGCCTCAACAAGTCCTTATATGGTCTCAAGCAAGCCTCTCGACAGTGGTTTGCAAAATTCACAAAAGCTATCTTTGCCGCTGGTTTTACTCAGTCCAAAGCAGATTATTCTCTCTTCACCCAAAAGAACAGTACATCCTTCACAGCTTTGTTGATTTACGTTGATGATATTATTATTACGGGCAACAATTTAGATACCATTAATGCTCTCAAACGGTTTCTTCATACTCGCTTTCGTATTAAGGATCTTGGCAATCTGAAATATTTTCTGGGTATTGAAGTTTCTCGTTCAAAAAGAGGACTATGTATTTCACAAAGAAAGTATGCCCTTGAAATAATCAAGGATTGCGGCCTTTTGGGTGCAAAACCAGTAGGATTTCCAATGGAGGAAAACAAACTTTCAAATAAAGGTGAATTACTCAAAGACCCATCTTTGTATCGAAGATTGGTTGGACGGTTGATTTATCTTACCGTTACTAGACCAGACATCACATACTCCGTGCATGTACTCAGCCGTTTTATGCATCAACCGCGTCAACCACATATGGATGCAGCACTTCGAATTGTGCGGTATTTGAAGTTTGCACCAAGTCAGGGCTTATATTTTCAGTCAGATAATAAGTTAACTTTGAGGGCCTTTTGTGATTCGGATTGGGCTGGTTGTCCGATAACTCGACGTTCTACGACTGGGTATTGTATATTCTTGGGGAATTCGTTGATTTCGTGGAGGACTAAGAGGCAGAAAACGGTCTCACTTTCTAGTGCTGAAGCCGAGTATAGGGCTATGGCTGGAACATGTTGCGAGCTCATTTGGTTACGGTATTTGTTAGCAGATTTGCATGTACCCATTTCAGGACCTGCCATTATGTCTTGTGATAACCAGGCAGCATTGCATATTGCTGCTAATCCTGTCTTTCATGAGAGAACACGCCACATAGAGATGGATTGCCATTTCGTTCGGGACAAGATTTTAGACGGCTCTATAACTACTCGATATGTCAGTTCTTCTCAACAATTGGCAGACATCTTTACAAAGGCCTTAGGCAAAGAAAACTTTTCATCCATGTTGCGCAAGTTGGGAGTTCTTGACATCCACTCTCCAACTTGAGGGGGAGTGTTAGAAAGTCAATGTAACTAGATAGGAATGTTTTATTTAATTGATTTGTAATTGATACTTTCTGTTATCATATTCCTAGTTTCTAGGTCTTCTTGTTGTACAAGGAAAGGTATTGTATATATTGAGCATTCTATCAATGAAAGGAATGATTCTGGCTAAATACAATTTTCACACTCCTCGCATTTCGGTTGCTCAATCTGGGGCTGGCTAACTTCAGCCACAGTAGTTGACGGAGCAGAAGTCCCCATACGCTCCCTCCCCCTTCCTTTATCACCCTTACCGGAATTTCTTTGTGACAAACTTGACTGCCAACTCCCACCAGATTCCCTAATCAACCCTTGAATTATTTGAAGATCATCAGTCACCTCATTTCTTGACAAAGAAACAAGACCGGGAAATACATCTCTCTGAAGTCCTTCCGCTGCCTCCCTCTCCTTGATTGACCTCTTCGTGGCTGTTTTGACAACGTCACTTCTTCTATTAGGTTGTGTGAATTTGGAGGCACATAGCAGGGCCGCTCTTCCTTGGTTTCCACTTTCCACCAAGTTTAATGTCATGTGCTCAAAGTAATCCGTCACATCAGGAAAGGACTCTTCACTGTCAGTTCGCTTAACCTCTGCCGCACTTCCATTGTCAAGATTTCCATCACATGAAGAAATTGTTTTTGCAAACCAAAGAAGGGAGTCGTTCTGCGGAGAATCCATTTTGTGACCAGTGACATTTTCCTGCATATTGGGAGTTTGAGACGATGAGATGGCAACTAGAGCCTCAGCTACTACTCTTATAAGGCCCCCATGAGGGGAGTCATTACGTCTTCTTTCAATGGAATCTTCCCCATAAATATCTGTTTCAACTACTACCGGTGCCTCCAAATCTATCACAGTTTCCGTCCTCATAATTGGAGAAGCGGCAGTCTTTTCAGTTTCTTCTTCAGTTAAACATCTATTTATATCTATTTGGTGTCTTGAACCAGAATTCTCATTTGAAACTCCCTTGTCTAGAACCAGACTGTCTGCTTTCAGTTCCTCTCTACGTGTGCGTGACAGAGGACACTGAACCATATCATTCTTATCAAACGCAGTTCTAGCAGAGTAGCCATTCTCAGCATCACGGCCATGCATTAATGAAAAGGAATCCGGAATAAGACCTTGAGAATGGCCATTTCTCAAATCAGCTCGGTTCACACACTGCACAGAAATGTTCTGTAAGGAATCTATTTTCAGCTGACGAAAACATTCACCTTCTTTGGAAGACTCACCATTGCAAAGTGACACAGCTTCGAGCCAATGCAATCTTCCTTGTCGGCTTTCTTTGTACCTTAGCCCCTGGAGGCTGGAGAGAAATTATATTTTGGTCACAAGTTACTTCATGCAGATATTTATTCAGAGGAACATCGTTCACATCAATTGCAGACACATCCACCCGGTGACCCAAACTTGAATGGTTCCCTTGGCGTGCAAGGCTCATTGTGGGGTGACAAGCTGTAATTCAACTTGAATGGTTCCCTTGAGAGGCTACTCAGTTGGAGTATTACCCGTGCCTCAACTGTATCAGCAATGATTCAGTTTAGTTATGTTGACGGTCTTGTGCTGATGTGGAGGCTCACTGCTTTAGTTTCCAGCTGTACATTCTAGCTAATTACTATATTTATATTGTCCTCAGATTTTTTTTTGGTATACCTGAAAGAATAATACTAGAGAGACCATCTATTTAAATTATATTTTGTAAATCATATGACGTGATTGTTGATGATTAAATTATTACGTATACTTAAATATTGATAAATATGCTTATTTTCTATTGGTGACATATCACATAGTCTGCAAATTTGATCTAAAAATTAATCTCCCAAGCATTATCTTATATGAAATGTTGCATTTATTTGTGTTTTGGGCACTGAACAGCTAAGTGTGTGTGTGTGTGTGGATATGTCGTGTGTTTGTTGTGTTTGGCTCTATTGAAACTTTTGGATGTTTTTTAAATCATTTATCTAGAGTTGGGATCATGTATGATAAATTTGTTGAGGAAGAAATTATAAGAAAATATGTTTGACGTTTATCTCAGAGGGAGAGGGAGGAACTTTTGTCTCGGAGGGAGAGAGACGAACGATTTGTCTCGGAGCGAGAGTGAGGGAAAGAGAATATGTATCCGTCTGGGCTTTTCGTTTGCGGCAAACGGTTTTCCGGTTGGTTTTGGTAGTAATCTAAGGGCTTTAGCATATAGATTAATCCGCAGAAGACGTTAGTTTGCTAAGCTAGTATAGGCATGCTTGGCGGTTAATTTCATGCAAATAACTTACATATAGATATAACGGTTTTCTAAACGGATTTGAAAATTGGATTGCATTTTTCTTTTCTTTTTTTTGGCAAACAAACTTAAAAGGTAAATTACATAAAATTATCTCAACTATTGGTTCAGTCACAGTTTTATATCCCATCTTTAAAAAATTTCAATGTCATACATCATCTACGGATTTTTTACAATTTCATATATTCCGTCAGTTTTCTGTCAATTCTTCTGTTAAATAGTGACGTGGCTTGAGACGGAGCCCACTTCTATTAAAAAAATATTAAAATATTAAAAACTAAAAAAAAAACATTTTTTTTGCATGGGACCCACCCCTCACTCTTTCTTCCCCCTCTCTCTTCCCCAAACCCAAACCCAGATCCCACCCACCGCTTCTTCCCCGCTCCTATCCTTCACCACACTACCGCTGCCCTCTCTTCCTCCATCTCCATGCCTACAACCCATCCAAACAGATCAGACCCGGATCGGACTTAGAGAAAAAAATGGCGGCATCTCGACGGCTCTGGGACCTGCAATCGCCGACCTGCGTGGACTGCTCCCAAAAGAACCCGCAGTGGGCTTCGGTTTCGTACGGCGTCTTCATGTGCTTAGAGTGCTCTGGCAAGCACCGCGGGCTCGGCGTCCACCAGGGCCGACCCAGGCCCAGTGCAACCAGGACCATTGTCCAGGGCCCAAAATTTAAAGGGGCACCAAAATAAAAAAGTCCAAATAATTAGGTATAAAAAAAATAATTGTCTAGAGCCCAAAATAAGGAATGGAGGGCAAGAGGCCCAAATTTGACAATAAAGGAAATGGCCCAAGTTTCAAGATTTAAAAAAATATATATATATATATAAAATTGAACCGGCCATATTTTAGCCTTTAAAAAAAAAACAATAATGTAAAGCCTAAAGGGACCTCCCCGGTCCCCCACCCGCCCATTTGTTTCCCCTGTTTGTTATTTTCCCATCTGCACTGCTATTGCAGCTTCCAGGCTAGCCTTCCAACCCCGACAACACACAGAGTCTTTGTCTTTCTCAGCAGCCACAATCCCTGCTGCCGGTTGCCATTGTGCATTCACCAACCCGAGTATAATAATGGATCTAACATGAGAGGGAAACATCAAGGTGTCCAGAAAAGATTGCTAGACATAAATCCCAGAGCTTTTTACATGTCATGTGGTTCTCATTGTCTTAATTTAATAGTTTGTGATATGGCAAGTTCATGTCTTAAAGCAAATCTTTTTTTGGAGCGTGTCAATGCATATATACATTGTTTTCCAACTCTACAAAACGTTGGAATATTTTGCTTGAACATACTGATGGTTTAACTTTGAAGTCATTGTCAACTACTCGATGGGAAAGTCACATTGAAAGTGTTAAAGCGATTAAGTCCCAAGTAGCCCAGGTTAGAAATGCTTTGTTTCAATTGGTGGAAATTACTGAAAATCCCCAATTGAGTAGGGATGCAGAATGTTTAGCATCAGGAGAACTTTCAAGTTTTGATTTTGTATTAAATTTGGTTATTTGGTATGACATTTTGTTGAAGATTAACATGGTGAGTACAAAATTACAATCTGAAGACATGCGTCTTGATGTTGCTGTAAAGGCATTGGAAACACTTGTTACGTTTTTCGAAAACTATAGAGAAACTGGTTTTGCTTCTGCCATGAGTGATGCTAAAGAAATTGCACTTGATTCAGAAATTGACCCTGTTTTTCAAACTAAACGTCATAGACCTAGAAAAAGACATCATGATGAAGTTGATGGTAATGAGAGGGAACAACAGTCTGCTGAAGAATCATTTAGAACAGATTATTTTCTTGTTATAGTGGATATTGCTCTTTCTCAACTGAAACACAGGTTTGAACAGTTAAAGGCTTTTGAATATATTTTTGGCTTCTTGTTTGATGCATCGAAGTTAATTTATTGGATGATCAAGAGCTAAAACAAAATTGTATGAATCTTGAAGCACATTTGAAACATGGAAATACCATCGATGTAGATGGAGCCGACTTATGTTCCGAATTACAGGTTTTGCAAATGATGTTACCTGAAAAATCATTTCTCTCTAATAACCCTTGGACATCCATGGAAATAGCAAACTTTGTCAAAGAAATTGACATGTGTCCTAATGTCTTGATTGCTTATCGTGTAATGTTGATTGTACATGTGACCGTGGCATCTGCAGAAAGAAGTTTTTCAAAATTGAAATTATTAAAATCTTACTTGCGGACCACTATGACTCAAGATAGGCTAAATGGATTAGCAATCTTATGCATTGAAAAGGATGAGATTGAAGACTTGGAGTATGATGATATAATTGATGATTTTGCTTCAAAAAATACTAGAAGACAATTTCTTAATGGTTGAAATTTGAAGGAGATTTGCTAGGAGTGGTTATATATGATTGTACTTTTGATTGTCGGGGTTTAGGTACTATGTCCCCCCCATTGTATATTTTCTCAGGTAATATAATTTGGGCGTGAGGGCCTAGCCCCCCAGCTTCGACTGGGTTCCAGCCCTCGTTAAATATTTTTTTTAACATATGTTTTTGTATTAAAAAGGGCACATTTTGAACTTTCGCACTGGGCACCCAAAAACTCAGGACCGGCCCTGCGTTCGCATCTCGTTCGTCCGATCCGTGACCATGGACTCGTGGTCCGAGATCCAGATCAAGAAGATGGAGGTCGGCGGCAACGAGCAGCTCAACACCCTTTCTCCCCACCCGAGCCCACCCCAAATCAGAAACACTCCATCTCTC